TGAGTACAATGGTCTCCAGAGATTGCCAAACCTTGTTTTTGATATATCACAAAACCCAGCAAAACTGAGGAGAACACTGGGTGACTGCTGGTATGTGTAAGCACACAAGTAAAGAGGATAATAAAAATCCATGCAAGAAAAAGATGCCCTGAGAACATATCCCAAGGATTGAATACCCATCCCAGAAGCTTCTAAGGATGCTACCCCCACACCAATGATGCCTTAATTTGGAGGATAGGGATGTAAGTGGCCAGAGGGCCATGGCATATGCAGTGCAGCTGACACTGCATGTCTTTTTAAAGAGGGCTTCCAGATTTCAATGTCTTGCTCTGCAAGACTCAACCTTAAACTACTAACTTTCTTAAACTAAGCAGGAAGTTTAGTGCTAATGTCCTTTGCCATTGGGAGTGGTGAACAACGTGGGATGGCCTTGATCACCTTCTCTTTTGGACTTCTGGGTAAAATCACAAGATGGAAAGAGGCACAACCCATGCAGTGAATTCTCCAGCACTGGATGGCACTGGACACACACACACACACACACACAATTATTTTCTTCTTCCATGTATCAAGAAATTCTCTTCTTTTGGAGTCCATAGACAGCAGCAAGAATTCCAACTGATATGAAATGGAAGAGCATTGAGTGAGGAGGGGATAGATGGAAGGATAAATGCATCCTTTACCACTGGTTGTGGTGACACAAATTGTGGGTAACTTTCACCACCTTTTCCTCAGGACTCCTGGGAAGAGCGTGAGGCAACCCAGACTCCTCTCATGCAGGCAGGACAGCCCACCTGGCCCAGCGTGGCAGCCCTGCCATACTTAATAGATCCTGGCATTCAGTGGGGCACATTACAGGACCAAAGACCAGCTTTTATTTGCCTAAGCCTGGGGGGCTTCTCAAAAATTACGGAGCAGTGTGGGGACCTAGTGTGATCTTATGGCAATGTATCTCAAGCTGAGGTTCATATAGCCTTTTTGTTTATGTTTGAAAATCACACAAAGCACATATATGCAAAAAAAAATCAAACAAAATTCAATGCAAGTCTAATATGGGGGGTATATTACAAGGTAGGTTACAAGTTACTTATGTTCTTTTTATTCTCCATGTTGGTGACTAAATAAAATATAATTAGATTTGTTAAGATTTTTAAGAGGCAATGTTTTCTGTATCTTTTTTATACTGTAATATGAACTTAAATTTATGCTTCATTGCCATGGCATAATGCTTTTCTTTGAATTGAAAGGCGTAGGCAGTATTTTGTGGTGGTATAAAGAAGGATTATTTGCAGAAAAAAGAGCTACAGGTAGCTGTCCACATTTAACATATGTGTCTCATGACAGATCCTACAGAGGTAGTGGTGGAGGAGCAGGGTAATCTACTGTACCATCATACCTTCAGATCCTCAGGGCATCCAGATGTCATATGGCTGGATCATTCCATCCCAGGATTATAGAAAACCTCCTCTCCTCTGCCTCAGAGTCACTATCTGGTGGAGCTGCCCTGGTGTATGCTTTAGAGAATTTACACCTAAGTAACATTCATAGACACTCTTTGCCCAAAGACCTCCCTAAGCAGATGTCAGTACAGACCTCAGTGCCTCCCGACCTGAACCCTGAAGAGGTCAGGGTCTAAGGTCACCTTCCAGGGCCTGAAGAACCTTCTGTTCCTGTACACCCTCCCCAGTAAGCCCCTTCTCCCTCCTCTTTGTGTCTCCCCTAAGCACCCCACACCTGAGAATGTATTGCAAATTGCTATATTGACACGTCGGAGGAAAGGGACATACCATCCTGAGTTTCCGAGGATCTGGAGCTTCCTGAGTAATGGGAAGCTCAAATCAAGGCTTGAGGTCAAAGGACAGGAGGTGCCTTGGTGTTTGTCCTAGCCATAATTTAAACTCGTGATAGTTTATTTTGAATTGTATGGATTTAGAATTAATTTCAGATATACCTTCTTTATTTAAGTAGGAGCCAAATTATCCACTGTTATTTATTTTTAGAATATATTTATAATAAGATGCATATAGGGGAAAACAGCCTAAACAAAGATAGAACTTAATGAACCTTTATCAGTTATTTGTGTGGTCATTGTGTTCCCCTCTGCAACATCACAAGTACTCCAAGAAGTTTTTCCTGGTGTCTTTGCCCTGTCCCAGACTTCAGTAGCAGAAAGCTTCCTGAGCTTCTGCTAGAGTCCCCGGCTGTGCACCTGACAGGGTGCTGCCATGCTCATCGTGCCAATTGTGTGCAGGACACATACTCGATTGTGTGAAGTGTAATTGTGTATGCTCAGAATATACATGAAGTCACTGATTTCACTCTGTAACCAAATAATGTAGGCATTATTATTGTTTCCATTCACAGGAAACTACTGGTGCTATAGCCAGCTCTGTATGTTTGAGGGTTGGCAAAAAAATGTGTTTATAAGGAGCCAGATTTCATATGGCTTCACATTCGTGTAATATACAACACGTAAACTAAGCATCAACTGAAAAACCAGAATATAAACAAAATTTGAAGTCCGGATAGCTACCTCCAAATTCTACCAAATATTTCAGGTAGAAATACTGCCAATCTCCTACATGCTCTTCCAGAGTGTACATGTGGAGGGAACACTGCCATATGGCCTTCCTCAGATCAGGAGAATGTTGATGCAACCACAGCCACAGACACTACAGGAAAGAATTACAGACTAAGTGCTCCTGAAGGTATTTGGTCAAAGTCTGACACCAATCATCAGCAATGTAGATTCAGAGATTTTTAGAAAGAAACTGGAACTTCAGGTGGGAGTAGTTTCCATGAGGATGATGAGGACAGAATCCCTGTTTTCTGAGTATTTCTGGAAAGCTGGGAAGGAGAGACAGAGTTACTGGTTCACTGGAGAAGACATTTGGTGACAGAGGGAAGAAAGGCCTGGGTTATCCTCAAGGAGGAGTCAAGAGTGGTGATCACAGGCAGTGGCTATGGAGTGGGGGGTACCTCTAAGAGGAGAGAAAACTCTGTCCCCTGGCCCTGCAGGATCTATACAGGATGGGAGTTCTTGAGGCTGAGTTTTGGTGAGTAAGAAGGTGCACATTTAGAATGGGTGCAGCCACTGCCCATTCTCAGCCAGTCCTTTGTCCTCCTGCTCAGTCAGTTGCTCAGGTCAGTAGTCGGCAGACATGGGTACATGCCAGTTTCCTCCACTAAACCACTGAAACACCAGCCCTGGAGGCCACTCTGCCCCCAATATTTAGTTCATATAGGGCTGATCAGTTTAATTCAAGCTAATTCATTATGGTAGTACCATGTGGATAGGCAAAAGATCAAGGTTCTGAGCCACTTGGGAGCCAAGCTGACCAGTGGTCCCTCAGGTGGTCCACCTCACCTCCAGGGAGTTCACTTGGGGCAACTGATATGTAAAGATGCTAAAGTAGGAGGGACTTAGAGTGAACTCTCCTCGTCCCTTAAGGGGCTTTCTCTCAGGAAAATGGCACAGCTTTGGGGAAGGGATTGAAACGTGGAGGAAGGAGGCTAGTCAGCTACATGCCCTTCTCTTTGCTCAAGTGCCCCCCCTAAGGGGCATCCACTAACCCCTCTCAGTAACCTTGGGAAAAAATGGGGAAATAAAGTGAGGGAAGCCCTTGGTTCTGGGGTCTAGAGCATGATCTAAAGGACTCGGGTTCAGGGACTCTCTGTCCCCAGGGAACCAACTACATTTCCTCTCTTAGGTCCATCACCCCCTCAGTGTGTGACTCTGAACAAGTCACTTTACCAACCCAAAAGTATGGGGAAGGGACCCTGCTCTAGCTACCTCACAGGGCTAATGTGGGGTCACAGGAGGTAACAGACACTCCATGAACTATAAAGCATGTGGAGGCTGGAAAGTAACCTTCCGTCTTCCATGACTTGTAGCCATCAATGTTTCCTGGCTAAAGGAAACCATCACCATGTGACTGATGCATGAAGACATTTAATATTTGAACACTGTGTACACTCACAAAGCACAAGTCATTTTTCTTCAGGGTTTATCTGTATTGGCTTTTGTTAAGCTTTAAGACAGATATAAATAGGCCCTATCAACATTTCCATCTCAGACAGCAGGGAACCAAGGACAGAGAGGTAAAGTCCCTTCTGCAGGTTCATGTGACTTATAAATGAAATATGACTCTAGGCCACCAGGCTTTTAGTCCCTGTTTCCCCTCCTGTCTGTACACTTGTAACTCCTGCATACAGCCCCTTGGATAGTTAAACTACCCCTGCCCCTACACACACACACTGCAAGATTTCTTGTCCTAACCCAAATTTTGATTCAAAATTTGGCCCTCCAAGGAAGCTGGGGAACAAGAGAACAGAAGTGGAGTCTTGGAAAAGATAATTTGATATTTTTCCATAGCCTCCTTTCACCAATGTGTCAACAGTTGTCTCTGTTTTAAATGTATTTGCCAGGATCATGTCTCAAGGGTACAAAAGAAAAAAAAAACCATTCAAATATAGAATACATCAGAAAAAGTATCCGCAGTCAAGGAAATCTACTGCCCATGCCCAGAAGAGGTTCTGCAGCATCAAATTGGGTATCTGGCCAAACACCAAGGAAGAGTCATAAATACCATTCTAACTTCTCCACTGAGACTCTACAAAGGAAACCATTTAGGAGCTTCCCCAGCAATGGCGGCAGTTTGCACAGCTGGGATTGAGATTTTGTGAGGAGGTAACGAGGAAGAATGTGCATATTTGGAGCAGGTGTAATCATTGCTTGTTCTCATCCAGGCCTGCATCCAGGCAGCTCAGTCAGTTGGTCAGATCTGTAGTTAACAAGATACTGGGAGCCTGTAGACTTTTACGGAACCATGTAAGCACCAGTCCAGCAGGCCTCCTCCCCAGTACATCAGTCTGAACTGCTCCTCTCCCAGGTTTGAGCCGTTAAGGCAAAGCTAATTTATGCAACTGTCATGTGGACAGTTGGTTTGGAATGTTCTGAGTTCTGAGTTAGTTGGCAGTTAAACAGATCCCTGGTCCTTCTGAGTGGTCAACTTTTTTCTTCTGGCATACTGGAATTTAGATATGTGCTACCAAAATGACATCAAATAACCAGCCCTTCTCAAAAGTGTGATCACAACTCACTGCTGGAAGAATTTAGTGTGCCTATGTGACTCAGTTGGGAAGGATTTTTTTGGAACCTTGTGACTGTTTCCTCTGGACTTCGTTTCATGAATGTTTTTTATTTGTGTATATTACTTAGTGTGCTTAATTACTGTAAGAGATCATAGCCACATCCATGACTATAGGCTGAGTAAGGTCCTCTAGAAAAATCACTGAACTTGGGAACATTCTTGGGACCTCCAAAGACATGTTGATATGTAAGGGAAAATGCAACCAATAGAAACTGACCCTAAAGAAGTCCAGATATATGACTTTCTACAATGATTATATCTGCTATTGTAAATATATTCAAAGAATTAAAGGTAACTATGTCTAATGATCTAAAAAATAGTAAGAGAATTATGTTTCATCAAGTGGAGAATAACAATAAAGTTATAAAAAATAAGAGAGGACCACAGAATTTCTGGAGTTGAAAAGTTCAAGAAGTGAGGAACTCACCAGAGGGGTTATGCTGTTTCCTAAAGTCACCATAACAAATTAACCTGGATGACTTAAAACAGTAAAAATTAATTTGATTGCTGTTCTGATAATTTAAAAGTTATCAGCTGTAAGCTCTATTTGAAAGTGTTAGGGAATTCTCATGCTTTGCCTCAGCTCATGGTGGTTCCTGAAAATCCTTGGTTTTCCTTGGCTTTCAGTGGCATCACGGCTGTCTCTGCCTCTGCCCTTCCATAGTCCTCTTCCCTCTGTGTCTATGCATACATATCTTCCTGTTCTTATAAGAACAGCAGTAATTGGATTAGGGTCCCCTCAATACAGAATGATCTTAATTTATTACATCTGCAAAAACCCTAGTTCCAAATAAAGACACATTCACAGGTACTGAGAGTTAGGGCTTGAGTACAGCAGTACACACAATTCAACTTACAACAGGGCTGAATGGCATATCTGAGCAGGCAGAAGACAGAATCAGTAAACTTGAGATTATCCCATCTAGCACATAGTAAGTAAAGATGATTAGAGAGTCATAGAACTGTGAGACACAATCAAGCATTCCAGTATACATACGCATAGAGACCTGGAAAGGAAAGAAAGTGTCAGAAAGAATAGTCAAAAATGTATGAGCCCAAAACTACACAAATATTATGAGAAAAAAAATAATCAAAACATGCAAGAACTTCAATGAACTCCAAAAAGGATAAACTCACATCATAATAAATTGAAAACCAAAGACAGAATCATGAAAGCAGCAAAAGCGGATTATCATGTATAAAGGACCATTGATAAGATTTACAATAGAATGAACATAATTTTTAAAATATAACCAATGATATAGACCAATTAGGGATCTTCATATATTGCTTGTGCAAATATAAAAATGAAATTTTCAGGACTGGAGTTGTGACTCAGGACTAGAGTGCTCGCCTAGCAAGTGTGAGGTCCTGGGTTCAATCCTTAGCACCGCATAAAAAATAAATAAAATAAAGGTATTGTGTCCAACTACAATTTAAAAATTAAAAAAATTTCAAAAAGATGGAATTTGCAAGTTCCTCAGAAAGTTACGTAAGTCAGTCCAACAACTCACATACCCAGGAAGAAGTAAAAATCATGTTCACATATACATGAGTGTTCATGGTGACCCTGTTCATAATAGTAAATACACAGAACTATCCCATTGCGTCACAAAATGATAAATGAAAAACTAAAATGTGGTACATCCACATAATTGATATTATTCACCCATAAAATGATGAAGTATGACTCATACTACAACATGGATGAGCCTTGATTAGATTTTGCTTACTGGAAGAAGTCAGATGTAAAAACAATAGATTATATAGCTTATGTAAATAAGTGTCCAGAATAGGAAAATCCATAGAGACAAAAACTAGATTAAGATGTTGCTGGGGCCAGGACTAAGATGTTGCTGGGGCCAGGACACATGCAGAGAATGTTGACTGATAATGAGAATAGGGTTTCTTTTTTAGGATCATGAAAAGTGTATGACATAGTACACTTTTTTTCTCAGATAGTAGAGATGACTGTAAAACCTGAATATACTAAAAACCACTGAATTGTAAGCTTTTCCAATGCAATTTTTAAAATATAATATAAAAATAATATGGTTAAAATCATTTGCAATGTTTGTCTCTAAATATTGTGCCAATCAACTACAATCTTTAGAATCAATGACTAAATACCACAGTGGAGTAGATAGATGAGCTATTTGAGGATGAGCCTTGTCATTTGTTTAAAAGCCCCTTCTGGTGCTGCTGAAAGACAGCAGGGTCAGGCAGTTCCCTAAGGATCTTCCCCATGTATCTTTTGTTTGAATCAATCACAGTCATCCTTCTGCATCTGCCAAGTTCTACATCTTAGAGGTAGTGAAGAGGGAAGGAAGGTGGAGTTGGGAGGAACTCATTGCTCTGTGGAAAACTGGGTTTGTAGCTTCTCCACTGTTATCTTCCCCTTTTCTATTTCTTTCATCCCACCAATGCAGACTTGTTTGATTTTTTTTCTTCATAGCTGTCATCTGAAATTAAATCAGTTTTGGGCGATTCTGGAAGGCAAATGAGGGCAGTTGTGGTGACTCAATTTTTATCAAAACTTATAATTTTGAAATCATTTGTAGATTTACACACTTTTGTAATAATGCAGAGTGATTCTATACATACTTACCTCCTCTTTTTTCTCTCTATGGTGATATATAACATAATTAAGGTATAATATCACAGCCAGAAAACTAACCACAATACAATCTTTCAATTTTGTTCAGATTTTACCAGTTTTACAAGTACCGTTGTGCATGTTTTGGGGGGGGGGTTGTTTCTATGAAATACATCCATCAGCCCAATAATACATGATGCTGGTAGTAAATGGTATATTAAACAGACAAAAGAATGAGATATACTTATTTCCATTGATAATGGGGCATATGACAAGATATTTTGCCAAATAAAGACAGATGCATAACACTGTGCCTGGTATGTACCATCTGAATTTAAAAGTATCAATGCCTCCCCTAGTCATAGACCAAGAGAATTGAAAATATATATTTATGCACAAACTTGTACTTGGATCTTCACAGCAGGATTGTTCATAATAATCAAATGTAGAATATAGGTAGGTATCCATCCATCAATAGATATGTGCATAAACAAAATGTGGCATATTCATATAGATACACAATAAAAATATATTTTTTGATAAAAATGGATTACTGACATGTGCTACAATGTAAATGAACATTTAAAACATAATTCTAAGTGAAAGTCACAAATGACCACTTATTATATGATTACATTTGTGTGAAATTCCAGAATGGGCATATTCATAGCGAATGAGAATAGGTAATTACTTTGGGTCAGGAGGGTTGAAAAAATAGAAGTAAGCTAAATGGGAAGGTGGTTCTAAAAAATTCTATTCCTTTACATAAATGCCCACACTATTTTATGTTGTTATTTTCACAAATTACATCTCTATACAATGTATACCCAATAAAAATATTCTAAGCAATGGATGTACAACTTTGTGAGCATGCTAAAAATCATTGAATGGTGCCTTTTAAATGGATGAATTACATCTCAGAAAAGTTGTTTTTAAAATTGTTTGTGTAGCTTTTGTATTCTTAGATGTCTCCAGAAGGGTGCAGTAATTACTGCTTGCAATTGCAGAATAATTTCTACTTATGGTGATGTGCTTCTCTTTGGTATCAAGATAATTTGGGTCTCAGAGAAAAGTGTTCCCTCCTATTAAAAACTTTTGGGAGAGTTTGAGAAGTATTGGGTTAATTATCCTTTAAATGTTTGACGAAATTCATCATTGAAGTCGTCTGAACTTGTGGTTTTCTTTATTGGAATGTTTTGTATTGCTTATTTAATGGTATAAGTCAATTCAGATTTTTCTATTTCTTCTTGAATTGATGTCATTACCTTATATGTTTCTGGAAAACTTTTCCCAATCATTTGTTACCTAAATTCTTGACATAAATCGTTGATAAACAATTGTTCATACTATCCTCTTATAATCCTTTATGTTTCTATAAGGTAATGTACACACTTAGACTTTGTTACTAATTTGAGTCTTCATGCTAACATTTTTACTTAATCTACATAAAGTTTGCCAATTTTGTTGATATTTACAAAGAATTAATGTTTTTTTGTTTTAACTCCTATATTTTCTATTTTCTGTGTCTCCACTTTATCCTTCTAATGAACTTTCCTCTGATATCCTGTTGTTGTTTTTTTATTCTTGGTTCTTAAGAAATTACATTAATGATTTGAGATTTTTTTTAAATATGAGCATTTACAGCTACTTCATCTTGTAAATTTTGGTAGATTATATGTATCATTCACTCGAAGTATTTTCTAATTCTCACTGTGATTTTTTTACCCAGTGATTTATAGTGCTATTTTATGTCTATATATCTGTGAACTTTCCAGTTTTAAGTCTGCTATTGACCTCTATCTGCATTCCATTGTGTTCAGAAAAGATACTTTATATGATTTCAAACATTTTTAAATTCATTGAAACTTGTTTTGTGGCCTAACATATGATCTATTCTCTACTTCAATTTCCTTTTTTATAGTGTATAACTTTATTCTATCTTAGAGACTGTTCCAAATGCATAAATTAAGAATGTTTATTCTGCTGTTTATTTGTATACCTGTTATGTCTTACTGCTGTGGTGGTATTTAAGCCCTATACTTCCTTATGGATCTTCTGTCTAGAAGATTTCTAATATTAAAAGAGATATATTGAAGTCTCCCACAATTATTGCAGAACTGTAATCCCTCATTACTCTCTCAGTATTTTTATTTATTTGCTTCTGTTTTTAGTCCAAGTATGTTATAATTTTTACATCTTGATGAATCAAACTTTTTATGCTATCTTTTCTGGTCTTTTGTGGATTTGGAGTTAAAGTCTAATGTTTATGCTATTAAAGCCATCCCACCTTTATTTTGATGATTACTTGCATTGAGTATAGTTTTTCCACTTTTAACCTCGTGTCTTTGGATTTAAAGTTAGTCTCCTGTAGACAGTATATAATTGGATCATGTTTTAATCCTAATTTTTCATTGAAAATTTTAAAGCATTGACATTTAAAGTAATTACTGATGTGACAGGGCTTAGTTCTGCCACTTTGCTAATTTTGGATGTATTATGACATTTTGCCCCTATTTCCCAATTCTGCCTCCTTTGTGTTCAGCTGATATTTTATTGTGAGACATTTTGAAACCCTTCCCATTTCCTTCTATGTATATATGAGGATTACATTAAACATTCTAAATCTATCTTGAATTGATATGAAATTAACTTTCAATGTGTACAAAAATTCTACTCCTGTACATAAATGTCCACA